CCTGTATTTCCACTTTTCTTACAGATGGTGCCCTTTATGTTGTAGGTTTTTGTTTTTTGTTTGTTTTGGCTTAAACTGAAATTCTCTCCTCTGGAGCAATCGGGGAACTAATGTAATGGGAACCTAGCTTAGATATTTTAGATTGTTAATCTCCATATGGTTGGATGACTCTTCTTTCAAATCTGTAACTATGCACCTGGGTCAGCACTGTGCCTATAATTTCTGCCGGTCTGCGCCCTTTATTTGCTATGTTTAACTTACTGTATGGCTATAGAAGCTATATATTAGACTGTTTGATATAATGTTTGTTTGAATCAGTATATTCAATTTGAAATCTCAGCTGTATTATGAGCTAAAAGTTGGCAAAAAGAAGTTCTCAGGAAAGAGCTGCGAAAGACTTGAGATTTTCCCTCATTAGCAAAATAACAAGCTCTCCCTGACCGATTGAAGCAGCCTGAAGGTTTTTAGGTAGGCGAGACTGAGCCACAGTGATAGAATACGCTGAATGTCCCTAGAATGCAACAGACCTTTTGTTGTTAACTTACATTTTTGCATTAGAATTGTTTCTAGAATTAATAATTATTTTTCTGTTGCTATTTCTGGGTCACTGTAAGCTCATTCCTGCCTTCGCACCTTCACATCTCTCAGCTATTCCTGGATAACTTCTCCCTGTCGTCTTTTGGCACATTCTTTCAGTTCCTCACAGTCAGATGTCACTCCTGCAAAGAGGACTTCTCAGAACAGCCTAACACATCTTTCTCCCTCCTCCCCGTCATCTCCTTTGGTGCTGTGGTTGCGTTCCACGTTATGATAAGTGTATATTCGTGATCATTGTCCAATATATTTTCTATATTACAGTGTGATAATCCTTTCACATGGATTATTATAATTTTTTTTTTTTTTTTTTTTTTTTTTTTTTTTTTTTTTATGCGCTTGCAAGGTAGGCCACCGAACTGCTGAGCTAAATCCCCGGCCCAAAACTGCATTTCTTAATGTCCACAAGTGTAAGAGTTTTCTAGTTATCATTTTTTCATTATCACTTCATTTAAACTTTTTATTTTGAAGTAACTAGATTCATAAGATATTACAAAGCAATATAGAAAGTCCTATATCCCCTTCACCCACTATCCGTCAATGTTATGTTAACATTGTATATAACTTTAACATAGGAATAGTATACCCAAATTTATACTGATACAAATCATACAGCTTCTTTGAATTTCAGCAGTAATAGCTGTAGATATTTGCATATAACTTAATGAAATTTGTCATGTTTAGCTTTGTACAATTACCAACACAATCAAGATACTCTACTGTACCATCACAGCATGCTCTGATGTTACTTGTTTGCCATCTCTAGCCAAGGGCAACTGCTAATTTGTTTTCTAGTTATCATCTCATGAACATAAATAGAATCATGTAGTGTTTCCTCTTGACATTGGCTTTTTCCACTCATTGTATTTTTGCATTCATCCAATTGCTCACTTACATAAATGCATAGTCTGTTTCTTTTTCTCTTTCTTCTTTATTTTTCTGCTTGGTTGTATTCTATGGTGTAGCTCTACCACAGCTTGTTTAACCGTTAATCCACTGAAAGACCTTTGGAGAGTATGCAGGTTTGACTATTAGGAATGAAGCTGCTAAGAATATTCATGTATAAGATTCTTAGTGAAAATGTTTTCTCTAGGACAAGTGTTAAGAGTGCAATTTCTGGGTCGCATTGGTATGCCCATCATTGGTATTGAAAGGAACTGAAAATTAGTTTTCAGAAAGATGTATCTTTTTACATTTTAACCAGCAACTATAGGTGACTCAATTGTAACTATTTTTTATTTCATCCATTTTGTTAGATGTATAGATAGCTCATTTGGTTTTCATTTGCACTTTGTACCTCTCTTATTACTGGGTAGAAATGGGAATTTCATTTCCGCACCACTTGGTCTCCACTGAGATATCTCCTTGCCTGGGAAGAGTAAGAGTGCCTTCTTATCCCTCACTATGTCCTCCACGGACACCGTACCAGGGATGTGGGCTCATTATTGCTTGGTTATGTTGAAACTTGTGATTTACCATTAAGCTTACTTTGGCCTAACCCTAGAGGAAAATAAAAAAGCCATCCCATTTCTACTGGGTAGAGAAGGAGGTATAGGCTCCCCACAAAGTCCTCCACCAATACTTTGATTGTGGTGATGGTGAGGTCTGAAGGTTGACTCCAACAAGGAGTTGAAAGTCCTAGATCCCTTCTTGGCCACTCCGACATCACCAGAGGAGGAAATTTGGGATACTTTATTAGAGCCTATCAAGAGTTGATATAGTGTAGGTTTCCATTCGGTCCTTCTGGAACCACAATTTTTCCATGGATGTTTGGCTAGAATAGAGAGTTTATTGTCTAAATATATTCTTTCTTATTGACCTGTCCCTTTCCTGGTTCATTGACTGGTAAGAGCACAGTTTTGTTGGAGCTTTTATTGATCTATAATACTCGCTGACATTTGTAGGCTGTTGATGTCTTTTTCAGCTTCAAGTTTGGAATATATATGGAAAAAAGATAACATCAGAAACTAATGAACTCATTGTGTTTTTGGTCCAAGGCTTCTGGTCTCTCCAGCTATCAGTTCTATGTTTATTTTATATCTGATGTTCAGATTTGTTGTTTACTTATGGATAAAGAATAAGGAAAAGCGCAACAATTCATTTGTCCCAAAAGTAAAGGATATAAGTGTCAAATTTTAGGTTCACTTCTAAATTCTAAATTTCAACTGTTTCATAACTGCATGCTGTATTCAGTATAGTTTGCTTTTTGTTCCATTAATTATTCCTACAGCCTCATCAAATCTGTTTTTAAATTGAACCTGGGATTTTGCAATTGCAGGAGCAGTGGTTTCCAGTCCATGAATTCCTAAATGGGCTTGCCTCAAATCTATACTATCAATTCCATACTTTTAATTTGGAAATTTGAAAACTTGATATTATATTTAGAAGTATGTTAAACATCATTGTCCAGGGGTTCATTATTTGGTCTTTTCACTATGTAGAGAACTTATACATTAGTTTATGTTGTCTTTGGTTTCCATTGATTTTGTTATCTATTGACTATGAGTGTTGGGTTACTGCAACTTTCTGCAGGGCAGGAGATACTTGGCTTTACACTCATCAGATCAGATTTTGTGTCACCTAGATGATTTGAGGATAGGCTTTGGTCTAAAGTAAGTCTTCAATGACTTTACTTCTCTTTTATTTTGATTCATAGACTTTGGGCTGTCATTCCTAGCAGTGGGTTAATTTTCCAGGGCATATCTACTTGGCTGAATTGGTATTTCATTTTCTGTGTCCGAAATTTTGGGTAGATTCACAAGTACTGCCTAGCCCCTCAGTTGCCTCTCTCTGATCACGTATGGCTCATGGGAAAACAATGTTAGACTCATCTATCTGGATTTCTGTTTGCTACCAGATCATGAGCCAGTTGTTCCTTCTTACCTTTTTAATTCTTACATGCTTTTATGAAGATTCAAAGACACACATCAGCAGATTTCATCTAAGTAATAGTGTGTAGAAGTGTTTTCCAATTTATCGGGTTCTATACGACTGGAGCAATTAATTTTATTCTTACTATTTAACTTTCCAGAAATTTTGTATAGAACAAGAAAGAAAAATTGTATGTTTAACCAGAATCATCACTTCATTGCAAAATAAAATGTTGATATAAAGTAAAATCTAATTATGCTTTTCTCAATAGCTTCTTTTCATTTTATAAATTGGTCTTTATGAAGTACATAAAGTACATTTTTTATTTGATAAAGCATTGGCCTCAAATTCAGTGTTTTCTTTCACAGCATTTCTATCTGAAAAGTCCTTTGACACTGAATAAATTTACTCATTTCAGTCAAGATTTCCTGATTTGTAGAATAAAAAATTGAGCTAGATGATTTCCAGGCTCTAAACTTTATTGATCTAGGTCTAAAATGTACGAGGCCATTTTCATGACATTTTTTTTTATAGAATTATTGTCTTTTTATTCAGCAGTTTATATTTCCAATAAATGCCAATTTATAGGAAGTACAGGTGACAGAGGAACTTACAGAATACAGCCTAGGGAGGCTGTCAGAAATGTGAAAATATCCATAGATAAAATATTTGATTGCCACATAGATCAATTGCAGGAAGCAAAATGAGGAAGAGAGAAATCATACATTAAAAGAAAACTAAAAGACATTTTAGATAAATGTTATATGTGGACCTTTTTATCATTACTTCAAACAATTTTTAAAAGCAAGAAAAATGAGGCAATTAAAAATGTGAGGACAGACTATTGGTTTAGTTATATTAAGACATTATTGTATGTTTAATAACATTATTATTATTATTGCAGGACTTTTAAAATTCCTGAGATATTTACAAATATAATGATATCTGAGCTTTGCTTAATCCTGATCAAGGCTAGGTTAGAGAGGGTAGTGGATGGGTACACAGAAATCAGATTAGCAATATGTTGGTAATAGTTGAAATTGGCTAATGGCCAAACAGAGCTCCATTATACTTTTCTGTCTACCTTTGTATATATTTATGCCTCTCCATAATAAAATGTTTTAAAAGAGACGCAAGAGAAGGTACAAAAGCTATGATAATAAGGTTAAATTTTTAATCATATGAAATTAAAACATTGCAGGTTCCATAATTCTCCTGGGCTTTGAACAGAGTTCCCATGGCCCATGCTAAATTACCTAGCTCTCAGGACAGGAATTTGTTTAAGTCACCCTCAATGCAGGGGATCAAAGATTCCTTTTTAGTGAGAATTTTTATATTTGGTATTCTTAATGGGATCATAGCGGTTATAATAAGAAAAGTAAATTGTTGGATTTCCTCACATTTCAACATAATTTATTATTGATTTTTAATATATTTATGATATATTTTGCAATATCAGTTCTTGAATTGATAATTTTTAGTGAAATCAAATATAGTTCTGATTTATGATATTTTAATATTGTCTTTTTAATTAGGTTTCAAAATACTGTTAATAGTCATGCTGGAAAATAAGACAATTTCCTCCTCTGCTGAAGATGCTCAGACCAAAAAAGGTATGTTTATCCTAAGTTGATTTTCTCTGAAAATAGATCTTAGGTAAATAGAATTTAAGACACAGCAGGTGGCAGGCATAAGATTCTACTCTTTTCTAGGGTCACAGGGGCATTAAATCAAATTTACTAGGATGAAGGAAGAGAGGCAAGAGAAAGATGCATGTCAATTTAAGGAAAGCACACTGTCTGAATGATAATCGATATCTTTTACGGTTACTACTGAACTGTGCTATAGGCAGTACCACAACGGTAAACTTGAGTCAGCTTTTCATGGTCCATGTCATCCACTGTATATATTTCTTCTCAATACCATTCCATCAGTTGTATGAATGTGGCTGAGGTGCTAGAGCTTACTACCATCCATAGCTGGTTATTTAACTTTCACTAGACTATCACTGAAGATAAACATGCAAAATGAGAACGAGAATACTGAGATTTAAAACAATGTTTAACAAAGCATTCAACCTTTCACTACTTTAACTATGCACAGTAGATATTCTTTATATCAGTTACCCATGTCCTATTGACAGTAACTCACCACAGAAACTGTGGGTGAACACGGAATCATGGCATTCATTTTATCTCACTTACACATGCATCTGCTAAGTGGTTCGGCTGATCTCATGTGGATGCGGTATGGCTAACTCGTGCACATGCAGGAAGTCATAGGCAAACTAAACACCACTATTGATCTTGCTCATTTTAGCTATGCCCTTTCTTATGCCTAAGGGCCTTAGCTGGGGGAAGTAGATGACTCAATTCCATACCATATTGTGTGTCATACTCCAGCAGGCAGTTAGCGTCTTGAGCTCATGCTTTGGCACGGTTTCAAGATAAACTGTAGAAGAGCTCTTCAGACCACTGCTCTGAACTGGTGCATATCACAAGACCGGTGAGAGTACAAGGGTAGAAGAGCAGACTTTACCTGTCTTAGTTGGCTTCCTTTTGTGTAACAGAATATCAGTAATTTTAAAGGATATGACTTTATTTCGATTCACCATTCTGGAGTCTGAGTGGTCCAACATATCTGCTCAGCTTCTGGTGAGGGCTTCATGTTGTGTCATAACATGGCTAAAAAAAGAAAAGGATAAACGGACATGAATGGACAAGGTGAAAAAGAGGGGCAATTTGCTTTTTAATAACCTACTCCTGCACAGTAGGTAACTAATCCAATGGATGAGAACCACATTATTCCATCTTCATGACCTAATCACTACTTAAAGTTCCCACAACTTCTCAACATGATTAAACTGTAGGCCAAATTTCAACCTGCAATTCCGGGACAACAAAATGTATTCAACCCATAGAACTAGCCTTTGACGTAAGATGCTGCAAAATCATATCACAAAAAAATGAATGCTGGGAGGAGGAAACTGTTGGGGGGCCATGACTATAATCAAATTACCGAGGTCTTCTCCAAGATTGTAACACAAAGTAGTCATTTATTAACTCAACATGGGTAAGATTGTGGAACAATTAATTTTTTGAAAAATTATTAATTATAGGTAGAATTTTACTCATGTCACCATACTCATGAGTAGTTGAATAACTGCCCATCTTTATCCCATCAATATTAATTTTTAAAATGACATTTGGTTTTCATAGAGCTTATTTGTGAAAAATATTTCATTTGCAGAAACTGACTCTAATTTTAAATTAACAAAATAGACTAGGTTATTCATTTAAAATAATTTTTTCAAGGACAGAATTTGTACGGATATGGCAATCAAGTCATGCTGGTGCATAACTTATGTTTGAATATTTGAAATAATTACTGAAAGATTTTGCATAAATTATAATCATAATTTGAACAGCTAATGGCTCATTCATTGATTTTGCATTAGAACAGAAAGTGACCAATCTATACTGATTTGTAAGCAAAAACTTGAAAATTAATCACTTTAAAAATGACTTAGCTGTCCCCCATTACATGCAAAGAAGAAATACACATATTCAAAAACCACTGCATATCAAATAACTTAGTGAAATGTAAGTGTTCTGTGATAATAGATTATTTCTATCAATGCATAAGAAATGGAAATGTCTAGCTGCCTAACTCTTTGGATGAGAAATTGTGTTTTAAAATGTGGTCGGTTAGCAAGTTTAAGATTTTTGTATTTAAATGACATTAAAATAAATATTTGTGATGATATTGATAGTGACTGTCACTTAAAATCAGCTTCCAATTTTTTGGCATCAATAACATCACTAAATTCTCTATTCTACATGCAAAACAACCAACCCAAACACAGAGAGAATCCAGCTCCTCAAGCAAAGCATTGAGATGTCTGTTTTTAAGCTGCAGGAATTATCTGATCTCCATGTTTATTCATGTGTCTTGGCAAATTTTAAAGTTTTAAATCCAAAGCAATCTTTGTTGCATAATATACTGAACCTGATTATGTACCAGCCTTTTAAAAAGACTTGTCATTAATTGCCAGCACAAGATTATTGTGTGAGATCATATTTGCTTATTTCTAGGATACTGTAGTCAATGTAACAATACTTTTTAAAACATGTCAAACAGATCTTTTACTAATTCTCTGTCAATCATCATAAAATTATTATAATATTAAAATTTTCAGTATTCTATAAATAAAAACTAACTCAATGATTACTCTGTGCTCTCAGTTAAAAATAATAAATTCTTAAGTGTTTTCAAGTTGTCACAGTCATATTATCTTAAACACACTAACCAACAATGTTTTCTATAGTTCATATTTACAAATGGCTAGCTCTATTTTGGAAAAAAGTAATAACACAGTTAATAGTACTATTTTACAAAATATAGTGTTTTGAATTGCACGCAATATTTTCAAGAAATAGAAAAGTGCATTTCACAGCAGTAGCATCATGTTTATTTGCATTAAAGTATTGGTACTGCATTTTTCCATTTATTAATTTTCTGATAATATTTCTTTTCTATAACACATATTTTCCACACAACAGGAAGATATTATATTTTTTAAAGAAGAGTATCTCAAAATTTTAAAATACGAAATAATTCACATCTCTAAAAATAGGAAACATATATGTACAATATAAAGAATATTTATAAAATTGAATTTCTGTACATTCATGCTATAGTTTGGATCCAGAATGTATCTCAAAGGCCTATGTGTTGAACACTGTTCCTCAGCTCAGCACTATTAGAAGTTGGTGGAAACCATTAAGAGACCGGGTTGGGGATTTAGCTCTGTGGTAAAGCACTTGCCCAGTATGTATGAGGCTAGGGTTTTGAGCCTCAGCATTGATAAAAACCAAAAATCAAACAAAACAATAGGTGGAGCCTAATAGGCCACTGCTGGATATTTTTTATTAAGATGGTTTTGTAAGTCAAGAAGCCATATCTCATAAGTACATAGATTCCAGGTTTGTTTATTACTTCAGTTCTAACAGCCAGAAACAACCTGCTAAAAGCTTTTCTCACATAAGAATTCTCTAGTTAACCCATGGCATTTAGTATGTTTGCCAAGAAACCTATTTTTAACATGTTTTCCAGGAGCTTTAACTCAGTCATCTGCTTTCTTTCTTTGAGAGCCTCTTCTTTACTCCCCAAGAGAGAGTGTAGATTACAGACCTCCAATACAGCAATTTTTGTATTTAATTGGAAATCAATTTGTTTTTCACCCATGTATTACTTAGATGTATAAAATGTTTTGCTAAGAATTTAATAAAAGTTACCTCATGGAATATGTGGCTGAGGTCTATTATATGCATTAAGGTTCAGTATATATCCATACTAATTTTTATCCTTAGAGTCTTTATTAGATTGAAATGTGTTAATTTACATATACTATTGGTGAGTTTCTTTCTGTTTCTCCTTTCACTTATTCAATGCTTTTACATGTTATTGGGTGTACAAATGTTAATAACTATAATAATTTTATATAGTGGTGTTTCCTACAGTATTGTGAACTGTTTATTCTTAATTTCTTTAATAATCTTTTGTCTGAATTCTGTGTTGTCAGGTACCACAGAGAACATAATTTTTTAAAATATTCATTTGCTAGGTATATATTTTCCCATAACTTTAAACTTTCTTTTAATCACTCTTTATGTTATATAAAAGATATTGCTAGATTTTCACTTTATTATTGAGAACCAAAAATGCACTATAGGTGATATTTTCCATTTACAATAATAAAAATATTAACAAGACCTATTTTTCATTATATTTTATATTTTATGCTTAAGTATATAAATATATACACATTTTCTGTTCTGTTTAATAGGAAGATTTTGACTATAATAATTACTCACTAACACCTTACTTCTATTTTTTTAAGGCATTGTTATGGTTTATATCTAGATGTTCCCTTAAGGCCTCAATACAGTCATAGAGCTTTTTCAGAGGTGGCTAAATCTAGAGCATGTGATGCTGGGATTAAGGGTATGTGATTCCTAAATCAGTCCACTGGTTGGTTTGGCACTGTCCTAATCGGTAGTCTGGATAAAATAAAAGGGGCAGAAAAGACGCTGTTAAGGTTTCCTTGTTGCCTTTGCTACCATGAGGGTGCCGTGAACTGTTCCTCCTCTGCAACACCCCTCTGTCATGTGCCACTCTGCCTTAGAGGCAGCCAATTAGAGCTGAAACCTCTACAAACTGAGAGCTAAATAAACTTTGCCTACTTTAATTTAGGGTGTCCGTGTTTTGTCTCAGGAAGAGAAAAGTAACTAAGACAGATACTATGTATTTGCTCCATACTATGAGCAATACCAAAATTATCCAGGAAGCTTTTCTTCCATTACAATTTATTAACATCTAACTTATAGGCATAAAATTTTCTTCTAAATTTGTATTTATAAGGAATACTTAATATACTTAAATATATACTTATTCCCTGTTCCTGCCCACCATCATGACTTTTACAGTAACACTCTGTCGGCTCAGAAGAGAAGAACATAAGCCTGTTAGTCTATTTTCCCTTTTGCATGTTTTAATATTAGTTCAAAGGCTAATATATTCAAGATCCACTGTCAGTGCTTGGGCCAAGTTC